TGCTTTGTCTAGATCTTTTACCTTCATAATTCTCAAACAACATGGTTTTTTCATAATATTGACATCACGAGTCTTTGTACCAAAGATCGACGTGTCATCATAATGCAAGTGTCATTCTTAAATTTGTACTAAATGCACTTGTCACTTTCATTTTAAAAACCATGAGAGAGAATCTAATTATTCTCACCACTGTTTTAGAGTCTTTTTCAAATCTTACCTTGATTTGTCTAACCATAGATTCCAGAAGCATGTTCAGGAATAACAACTCTTTAGGTTGTCCCATGTAGATTTCTTTGTCTAAACCACCATTCAAATAAACAGTTTTAACAATCCATATGGCGCACAACACTAGCAATCAAAACATACATGAATGCTATTCTAGAATTGGTGAATAAATATCAAAGAAATTCACAATTTTTTCCTTCTTCGCATAAAGTTTTAGCTAGTAGGCGATCCTTATATGCATAAACTAAACCATCAGATTTAAGTTTTTCTTTTTAAGAATCCATTTATTACCCATGGCTTCATTGCCAAGAGGTAATTCTCAAAAATGCCAAATCCTGTTCGATTCCATCGATATATTACCCAAGGTTTTACAGCCAAGAGGTAACTCTACAAGATTCTTAGTCCTATTAGACTACAATAATTCCATTTTGTTAATAATGGATTCTCCAACAAATCTGCATCTTTATGCAAGTTCGAACTTCTAGCAGACTTGTAGGATCTTTTTTTCTTAGGGTGTAAATAAAAAATTCATAACCAAATCCTTTCATGATTCATGGTTCATTTGTCTCTTCTGAGTTCATACCTAGATTCATCACTCCCACTAGTTATCCATTATTTCTAATAGCAGTCAAGATATCATCCCCACTATTTCTAAATTTAAACGGAATGACATCAATGGATGGCAATGAGTATTTGATTTCATAAAACTTATGGGTTTTACTCATATGCTTTATTTTGTAATAATGTTGCACGGATTCTCTAATTCTAACAAGAGCCAACAATAATCAGACAATCAATAATAATGTGATAAAGCATTTCAAGCCAGTCCAAGTAAGCAACTCATCACGTTTACACATCAAATTTAATCAGATCAAAAGGTTCTGATTCTCTAAACACATATTTTTCTATTGAGAAGGAGGCTGTAACAGCCGAAGGAAGGAACAAGCAAAGAGCATAAAAACAACAAAGCAGTGCTCTGATTACATCACACAGACGGCCAACAAACAAAGGCTGAGAACAGATCAAAGCAAAACACCAGGAGAGAGTACCTACCCATTGTTGACAATTTGACGAGGGAAACTAATCCCTCTGATGTCATCCATGATGATGCATTCAAGCTCGATGGGGGGTTGCGGTAGTTCATGTACTCCTAAGGAATAGACGAGACCGTGCTTCGAGATCCAGTCCACAACTCTGTTCCCTTCGCGGTACGTGTGAACTAGCCGTACTACCCAAGCTTGCGCCATTTTTCGTTGGATCACAAACAGCAGAGTAGCCAGTGGGTGGGTCAGGTCGGTACGCTTGTTGATGAGCTCCACTGCTAGCGTGGAATCCGTTTCAACCACCGGAAAGTCCACTCCATGTTTCCAGGCCAGGTCCAGACCATGCGAGATAACCCATAGTTCTACAGCAATTGTCGTTCCCATCCTGATTTTGCTGCAAAAACCATCAATCCACTCACCAGGCGTTCCTTGCGCTGCGCCATCGGTATTGAGTTTAATCTAGCCTGTTGGCGGAGGTTTCCAGCCAATCGGACCTTCTTGGCGCGGCGGCTTGTTGTTGTTCTCGAACCTGGCAACACATCTTTCAAAAGCTTCGCTCCAATCTTTGGCTTTGGTAATGGCGTAGTTGAGAAGTGTGGAATTCGTCATGTTCACCCCTTTGAAAATTGACTCACATCGTTGTTTCCAAATGAACCAAGCAACGAGGCTACAAAAGTTGCCCCATTCACCCGTCCAAACCCTCATTGAGGCATCCCTGATGTTGTCCTTGAACCAAGCCTGGCCGTTCGCAGCAAAGAAGGCTTGCTTCTTGTTCACCGGGACGATCCTGTTCCAAACGAAGGCTGTTGCTGGGAAGTCTCTCAAGCAGTGGAGGGCCGTTTCTGAAATGCCCTGACATTTAGCACATGAGTCATTCGTTGTCAACTTCCTCTTCTTCCTGATGCTATTCGTGGTGTTGTTCCCAATGGTAGCCATCCAAGAAAACACCTTGACTCGCTCCGGGACTCTTAGTTTCCAAATGGCTTTCCATGTCGAGCTGTTTTGGTCTTCCTCAAGGCTGTTCTCATTTAGCTGGTAGGCCGTTTTTGTGGTGAATTGTCTGTTAGAAGTCGCCCGCCAGAACAGAGTGTATTCATTCGGAGCGAGCGGGTCAACGACTGCCTCCCGAATGGTGTTTGTGACCTCATTCGGCAAGAGGTGAGCAAATTCTTCAGTTCTCTAGCTTTTCTCCACGTCACACATATCTGCCACGCTTTTGTTCAGCTGCTCCTCTGGGATTGCTGCAAAAGCCAGCTCCATCAATGGTACCTGTGAGATCCAACAATCCACCCAAAACTTAGTTCGCCTCCTGTTATGTACATTCATAGCTCTGCCGTTGTGCACAAGATTAGAAGCATAGTGAAACTACGCCAAGCGAAAGAACCTCCCGTATCTTTTCGTAGCACGTCAAGGCCTACCCGAGCTCCTCCATACTTCTTTCTCATCACTTCAGGCCATAGGGTAGTATTATCTGTTGCAATCTTCCTGGCACCCTTTTCCAACATAGCAAGGTTCACTTTGCGGGTTGGCCTGATACCTGCACCCCCTGACTACGCCGCTTGACCATTTGCTCCCAAACAATTGGATGGAACTTTATCTTGTCATCCTCCTCTCCCCACACCAACTGCCAATTGTATTTGTCCAGATTTCTGCAGGTAGTAGCAGGCAGCAGTTCCGAGAACATGGGATAGATAGGAATGGAAGATGAAATGGATCTCACCAGGGTTAGCTGTGCTGTCAAAGAAATCTCTTTCATTATCCTAGTAATCTGGATCTCCTAGCATAACACTTGCTTTGTCCAGATCTTTTACCTTCATAATTGTCAAACAACATGGTTTTTTCATAATAGTGACATCACAAGTCTTTGTGCCAAAGATCGACGTGTCATCATAATGCAAGTGTCATTCTCATGACAGGCTACGGACGTGGCGTGCCAACAACAAGTTTGTTCTTCCAGATCTTGGATTGTGGTATATCGTGTAGCACTACAAAAAAAATTGATAATTACGTTCAAAATATTACTAATGCTGAAAAAGTTGATAATGAACAAAGATTTGTTAATACTACTCGTTAATTCAACCGGCAGATTAATACTAGTAAAAAACAGGACTTTGAAAATATTACTATGGACGAAAAAATATTAATAATAAACTAATATTGATAATATTACACGTGAATTTAGCAGACAGATTAATAATAGCATACTCTTAATAATAAGACGAGCAATTATCAAATCATGCACGATTGATGACAGCACTTCAAAATATTACAAATCACTATGAACTAAATTGATAATAAACTATATTAGTGAATTGATGCCGATTACAAATAAATTGATAAAACAATTACAAAACGACAATAAAAAGTTAATAACACAACATAACATAATTAACAGGCCTATCAGACAACATTGACAATACGAAAAACATTGATTATTGGGCGGGTAAAAATATTGACCATAGCCCTTCAAAAGATTAAAATCATGGCTACGTAAATTGATCATAAACTGTAGTAGTGAAAAACCCTAAGCACACATTATTAGTTTTAACAATCTTTGTAATGCGGGATAAGAAAAGTACAAGAAGTAATTGATAATGAGATTAGTAAAATTGATAACGAAGCTGATATTATTAATAAAGAATGCATGTACGCTAATAATGGAGATATATAAACATATTGATAATGGCCTTCGAACTATTACTAATGGGTGTATATATATTATGAATGCATACCTGTGAGTTACACTACTATCATTATCAATTGATAATGGCCTTCAAACTATTACTAACTGACAGCGACGGCGACGGTGGAGAACAGATATGGGAGTAGAATCATCGGCAGAATATCTCGGCGGGGGGAAGCTGGACCGACGGCGACAACGGAAACTTGGTTTGGCGTTGGTGGACTTGAACGACGACTGCAACGTGAGCTAGCTTCCCTCGGCGGAGAACGCTTGCGGAGGATCGTCGGCCGGAGAATTCAGCGGGAGGGACGGACGAACGGAGAATTCACCAGGAGGGACGGTTCGCCTTCTTGAGGGAGGAAAAAGAAAAGGACAGCGGGAGGGACGGTTAGAACGCTTGCGGGAGGGAAAAGAAAAAGACGTGGGTGTATACATAAGTATGGTTACGGTTTTTAATTTAATTGTAATTCCCTTAATAATCCTAACAGCTATTTAACTAATAACTCCCCACTAACTACCTAAAATTGAATCAACCAATCACAATCCTTTAAAATGCTCCTTAAAAAAGAGGGTTTAAAGACCTGAACTTGGGCATAGAAGTTATATACAATACAACAACATATATATATATATATATATATATATATATATATATATATGCGTATACCGAGCGCCGGCAAAATGCCAGTTTGTGTCTTCTTTCAAACAGACGCATGCCTTTAAATTATTCTCTGTCAGCACATGGTCCCAGACTGCTCTCTCCATCTCTATCCATTAATTTGACCTTATTCTGCGAGTTGCTATTCTATCATTCGAATCTTGCCTGCCTCATATTTCATTCAGTTACGTACGTACCTGCCTCTAACAAATACTCCTACTAATCTTCCAAAAACGCACATCCCTATCGCAGAGCAGTTTGAACGCCTCGTCTCACGTACCTAAAATCCATATAATGACAAAGCCCGGTTGATAATTACGATACTCGTATCCATGCAATGCACGTCTTCAACACTATATAAACCCACTACCCAACCACATGCATTTCCACGCCCAAACACAATACCTCCAGTTTGCTACCTTTCCTCAAACACTTAGCTAGCTAGCGGCGATACATAACGATGAAGAACCTCTTCTTGCTCTCCGCCTTGGCGGTCATCATTGTGAGTGCGATGATCGCCGGTAAAGCCACCGCGGCGGCGGAACCAAGGTGTGGTGCTTATAAGAAAGCATCGCAGCCCTGCATGGCGTATGTCCAGGGGAGCGCCGAAACCATCCCTCAGGCGTGTTGCGATCGGCTCAAAGGGTTTCTCGACGATGCCAAAACGGAGCAGAGGAAGAAGATAGCTGCCTGCAAATGCGTCGCCGGTTCTGCTAGTAACCCCGCCTACAAGGAAGGTCGTGTTCAGAAAGTTGCCGACGCCTGCAGATTCAAACTCCCACCGGCGGACTACGACTGCGACAGGTAAATCAATAAACAAATATATGGGTTATTGCAGGAAATCATTTTTATGAATTTGTGGTTGATTAGCTTAACTTTTCCCGCAGCCTGTGATTGAGGAGAGGCGTTCTAGCTAGCTGAAACAAATTAAGCCAGGACGAGGGAAGGGGAAGAATTAAAGATGATCATGTATGAGGAGGAGAGCTGCCGGAGGTGGCGTTCAAACACCTAAAATAAAAATCGTTATTCACTACTACTTTGCACTTTGGTCGTTGTTTTTGTTGTTATTCGTACGTAAGAGCTGGTTTGGTTTTTACATATATTATCGAAGTTGATGTTATGGTTTCCGTTGGGTACTAAAACTTATGGCAATTGATGTTGTTGACTTGTTGTAACGTGGGAATTATGATACGATATTTCTTTTGCGTTAAAAGTTGAGATGAATATATTTGAAAAGTTATAAATGAAATTTTTAATTAATTATCCAGTATATCTTATATACGAAAATAAGAAGGATAATTAATAAAAAAATATTATCAAGATAATATGAGTTAATTATCTTAATAGAATGCATTTTAATTATGGAGTAATTATCTTTCTAATTAAGTGTGACTTATTCCCCACAAAAGAGGGAAATTCTTGGTTTTCTAATGCTATAAATAGAGGACTACCCAGACCCTCTAAACACGAATACGTAGAGCAGAAACATGAGAGAGAATAAGATTTAGAGAGCTCCGGTTTCGCACAAACAGCGAGTCAAGAAGTGATTGTTTATCCTTGAGGCGACCGGCTGATAGTCTGTCGTGCGCAACGAAGACAGTTCCGCGAACGTCTTAAAGAGAGCGACCTAGACCGCGACTCAACCCAATTCGGTAACCCTAATCTTTCCTGTTCGGTTTCTATCAATTTTAAGACGTTCAGTTGCTGTCATATTAACCGTACAGGATTCCGATTATGGGCTGAACAAAACCCTCGTAAATCGTAATTGCATTCGATCGTGAGTTGTCATGTCGTGCCACCATCCTCGCATTTTTATTTCCCCAACGATCGCTCGGTTCGTGATGCCAGTGATTGATTCATGAATGTCACGGTATATATATTTTGTCAAAAGGGAAGATTTTGTTTGCTCGGTTTTTTTCTCTACAGGTATCGAGTATTCTGCTGCATCTGCGATGCGGCTTCTCCCGGAGATGGTGGAGCCAAGAAGGATAATGAAAGTTGCGGGGAGATTGACCTATCTTAATTTGTGAATTTGTACCTTTTCTTTCTTTTCTTGCTAATCCGCCTGGTGTTGTTTGGAAGGATATGTTTTTTATAGGGGAATGGTGGCAGAAGGTGAAGAGGTGGTATTGGGAAGGAGTTGTACCACCTAAGAATCATAATATATGCAAAAGGTTCAAGAATCGTAATAGAAAATCGAATCAGATCCACACCAATTAGAATAGTACCCCTCGTGGTAACCAAAGGATCATTGGTCAATCCTCTAGGAATTTTGCTTTATTTCTCCGCTATAGTTGCGAGAAATCAGGTCATATGAAGCGAAAGTGTAAGAACAAGGATAACACTGGTTAAGTGTTAACTTGATTGAAGAGGATTGTTGGTTGTGATGATTGTGAAAAGAGCAGAGATCAACCTTGCTAGTAACATTGAAGAATAGTCGCTGAATATTGGCACCTCGAAGCATACTAAGGCATATGCTATTAAGAAAGTGTTGTTGAGTATTGCTCACTCCATTATTGATAATGGTCATGAGAGTATGCATATGATGATAAATTTTAAGTGTTGAATTCTTATGGGTGTTGCATGCACGTCTTAGACGTATATCTTGAAGAGTTTAATAGCTAGGGTCACATTTTCATAATGGTTGTGGTAAATGTGATTTCTATAGACAAGATAAATGAAACATAAATATGTGTTTAGAGAATCAGAACCTTTAGATCTGATTAAATTTGATGTGTAAACGTGATGAGTTGCTTACTTGTTAGAATTAGAGAATCAGTGCAACATTATTACAAAGTAAAGCATATGAGTAAAACCCATAAGTTTTATGAATGAAATATCATTGTTATGTGGAATCTATTGATGCCATTCCGTTGAAATTTAGAAATAGTGGGGATGATATCTTGCCTGCTATTAAAAAATAATGGATAACTAGTGGGGGTGATGAATCTGGGTATGAACTCAGAAGAGACAAATGAACCATGAATCACGAAAGTATTTTGGTTATGAATTTGTTATTTACACCCTAAGAAAGAAAGATCCTACAAGTTTGCTAGAAGTTCGAACTTGCATAAAGATGCAGATTTGTTGGAAAATCCATTATTAACGAAATCGAATTATTAGAGTCTAATAGGACTAAGAATCTTGTAGAGTTACCTATTGGCTGTAAAACCTTGTGTAATATATCGATGGAATCGAATAGGATTTGGCATTTTTTAGAATTACCTCTTAGCAATGGAGCCATGGATAATAAATGGATTCTTAAAATGATTTTCCCATGGTACCCCATCACACACAATGCCACATAAATAACTACCTTCTTCGTAGTTGAACGAGTAAACTTCCCTTTGTACGTGTCTGCAACGCCATCATTATAAGAATATCCGCCCCACATCATACCCTCCTCCTGCAGCAATATCATAGTGGTGAGAAGTTGTTGCACCACCATGATAGCCATAACTCGCTCTACCCACACCAACCTTCTCAGTGTCAGCATATACAGCTCTGCAAACTCGAGCTTGTTTTAGCTAGGAAGAGCAACGTCATGTTAACCCATCATTGTCAAACATGACATAACTTCTTCGTACAACATAGCGCCCCCACGGGTGTTTGGATATCAGTAGCAATTTTACCAACTCGCATCTACCCCCTCCCATGAAATTCCATTAGGCATATATGACATAACTTCTTCGTACAACATAGCGCCCCCACGGGTGTTTGGATATCAATAGCAATTTTACCAACTCGCATCTACCCCCTCCCATGAAATTCCATTAGGCATATATGTCATAGAACTCTTGCCACATGAATATGCTCTTGATCTTCACCGTTGTAGATTCACCACCTTCTCTTAACCTAGGGGTGGCCGTTCGGTTACCGGTTAACCGTCCGGTTAGACCGATAACCGGCCGGTTATCCACTAACCGGTAACCGAAGTAACCGAACTTAATTCGTTCGGTTATCGGAAGCTAGACGCAATGGTTTTTGGTCTTAAAAGTGGTTCGGTTAACCAATAACCGAGATAACCGGGAAACCGAAGCCTATTTCGGTCAGTTTTCGATATGAGGGGTGGTTATTTCGGTTAACCGATAACCGGCCAATCGGTTACCGGTTATAACCGAAATAACCGAACTGTCACCCCTATCTTAACCCATCCCGATCTAGGAGTTGGTCATCTTACCATTCAACATAATAAGTAGCAATAACTTTCAGAATTTTTACCCATATATGTAATTTAAAGTATATAATCAGAGAGCTTGTCAATATATCATACAGATGACATAAACACCAATATATCCTACGGTCTACTTGAATCCAAAAAATTAACATAATTTATGATAACCCTAATTAGTGAACCCAAAATATAACTACTTTAACACAATATATATTAAACAGCTTAGTTCTTACCTTTTGAAGTGAGGTTGTGAAAATGGAGATGAGAACTTGTGGAATAGATAGGAAAGTTTGAAAGCGTCTTTGTTTCTGGAGAAGAGAAAATGAGGGTGGATATAAATGGGTGCTAGGGACAATTATTTAATGTGAGTAGATTGCACACTCATCACTTTAGGGCTAAGCAATCTGTACTTAACCTCTGTTAACAAAAGTGATCAATGTATGGATCGCTGAAGGCTAAAGCGACAAGTCCTTTGACCAGTGCACCCAAATTTGCTGCAATCTAACCATATCCTGGCGACATATCGGGTTGAAAGGAACCCTACAGCGGGAATATGATTGTTTCTGTCCAAAGTGATTAAGTTGGATCGCTTGAGTATGTGTTTGCCATTTGATGTTCGCTAATTAGTTAGTTTGAGTGTTAGTGAGTCTGGTTATCGTTAATGTACAGTGTTACACTTGTGGAGTATATATATGAAAATCCCATAGAGGGGCATACTACCAATTTCCCACAAACTAGGTTTTCTCCTAGGTACGATTCGGACACCAAATATGTCTGATCAGTCTTATGGTACATGGGATCGAGTGAATAATTTTGTCTTGGAGGACCTTGTACAAAGTTCAGGAAACATTAAGATGGCCTCTGAGGTATGGAATTATCTTGGATCAATGTTCAATCGTTGCAGGAAAAAAATTGACTTAGCTAAATAAGGAAACCAAACTATTTGTATTCCGATTTGATGCTAATATATAAAAACTACACGACCTCTTACCAACAACAACAAAACAATGACGTCCCCTCAAAAAAACAACAACAACAACAACAATAACCAAAGTGCAAAGTACTAGTGAATAACGATTTTAGTTTAGGTGTCTGAACGCCACCTCCGGTAGCTCTCCTCCTCATACATGATCATCTTTAATTCCTCGTCTGCCCTCCTCCTGGCTTAATTTGTTTCAGCTAGCTAGAACGCCTCTTCTCAATCACAGGCTGCGGGAAAAGTTAAGCTAATCAGCCACAAATTCATAAAAATGATTTCCTGCCATAACCCATATATTTGTTTATTGATTTACCTGTCGCAGTCGTAGTCCGCCGGTGGGAGTTTGAATCCGCAGGCGTCGGCAACTTTCTGAACACGACCTTCCTTGTAGGCGGGGTTACTAGCAGAACCGGCGACGCATTTGCAGGCAGCTATCTTCTTCCTCTTCTCCGTTTTGGCATCGTCGAGAAACCCTTTGAGCCGATCGCAACACGCCTGAGGGATGGTTTCGGCGCTCCCCTGGACATAGGCCATGCAGGGCTGCGATGCTTTCTTATAAGCACCGCACCTTGGTTCCGCCGCCGCGGTGGCTTTACCGGCGATCATCGCACTCACAATGATGGCCACCAAGGCGGAGAGCAAGAAGAGGTTGTTCATCGTTATGTATCGCCGCTAGCTAGCTAGGTGTTTGAGGAAAGGTAGCAAACTGGAGGTATTGTGTTTGGGCGTGGAAATGCATGTGGTTGGGTAGTGGATTTATATAGTGCTGAAGACGTGCATGCATATATACGTGAGACGAGGCGTTCAAACTGCTCTGCGATACGATACGTACGTAACTGAATGAAATATCAGGCAATAATCGGTTGATACAATAAGATCAAATTAATGGATAGAGAGAGAGCAAAGATGACGAGCAGTCCGGGAAGCTATGAATTCGCCGCCGGCCTTTAGCCATCTGGAACTATGTGGTGAAGCCATGAATTCTCCGCCGGCATATAATAATATAGAAGAATGCGATTACATATCCTCAGTATTTAATTAAATTTCAGTTATATGTAGCTTAGCCGGAATTTTCTGTAATTTCTGGTTGAAGTTGAAACGAGACACGCTACGTATACGCAATTACGCATATGTGTTGTTTTATATAACTTCTCTTACAAGAATTCATCATCCTAATCCTAACACTAACATAAAGAGATTTTCCATATAACATGATTAATTCTAAATTTCCAGCCTTCTAGGTATATTTAGGAAGGATATTTTTGTCCTTTGAACATTTTTATCCTTTTAATTGATAAAAATACAAAGAATTTTTTTTTTTGTTAATTTAACTAATTGGAAAAAAGATTTCGCTCTAACAAGGATTTCGTTGCTAACTTTATTAAAACCAATTATGATATTATTAATTTTAGCTAGGAAATATGGTTTTATGATATTTTAGTCTAGGGTTGTGCGTGTATATACCCTATATAGATTATTTTTTAATTTATTTTATGATAAAGTTAAGTTTTTTGGACAAATTCTTATATGTGTGACCTTTTAATTAATAAAAATACAAAGAATTTTTTTGTTAATTAAACTAATGGAAAAAAAGATTTCGCTGCTAACGAGGATTTCGTTGCTAACTTTATTAAAACCAATTATTATATTATTAATTTTAGCTAGGAAATATGTTTTTATGATATTTTAGTGTAGAGTTGTGCGTGTCTGTACATGGGCGCTGGCCTGTGTTTGGCACGGCACAGCACATGCATGCTTCAGGCTCGTCAGTTTTTGTGTCGTGTCATGTAAGCCCATTTGTTAACTTTGCTAGGCCCTGCCCAGGTCCTGGCACGGTTCAAATCGTGCTGTGCCTATTAGTGCTCGTGCCATGCTCGTATTCGTGTTTAATGAAAAGGACGAAAACAAAAGAGAGAATGAAAAAATAAGGTGAAAATTGGACGGAGGAAAATAGTATTAATCGATAATGTTTGAGAAAAGTAACAAATCAGGGGGGAAAGAAAATTGAAAGTATAGCGAGTGTGATTTGGCTTTGTTTAATTCTTTATCCATTTTTACTTATGTTAGTAATTACGTATATATCTTTATGACATTTCTAACAACAGAAAATAATTATTCTTGTACTTGTGTTTTGTAATATTTGAACCTATAATTCTTTTTATATTTATTTTCTATCAAATAAATATTATTTTTGTGCCATGTTCGTTCTTATACTCAATCAAGTCTCGAAATATTAGGCCCGACACGGCCCACTTATATACCTTGCCGTGCCCGTGCTCGTACTCGTGCCCATGAACCCGACACGGCCCATAAATTATTCGTGCTCGTGCCGGGCTGACCCATTTATTTAGTGCACGTGCTAGTGCCATGCTCCAACCGTGTCGTGTCGTGCTAGCCTATGGGCGGAACGGCCCGGTGCCCACGTACATGCGTGTCCATACCCTATATATAGATTAATTTTTAATTTTATTTTATTATAAAGTTATGTTTTTTAGACAATTTCTTATATGTGTGACTTTACTAATTGACTAATTCTTAATAACTCAACCAAACAAGGCCAAGAGATTTGTATTAATCAGTGGAAGGAAGTGACGCTACAGCTAAAAAAAGCTTTTCTCTAAAAAAAGCTAAAAAAAGGGATGTGGGGAACTCTCCCCTCTCTCCTCCGTCGTTGGAGTCAGATCGGCGATTGAATGATTGTTGTGTTCATATCAATTCTCACTGTTTGCTTACGAAATCAAAGATGAGGGACTGATTGGAGTTTCTCTTTCAGTTCTCCTCGTCGTACCGAGGTGGTGAAACTGGTTAGCGGGACGAGTAGATCAATCATGTCTCTAATTAACCGCCATGAGAGTAACCTCGTGTCTCGGTATGGCTTTCACGCCAAAACTAAATGCCATTCCAGATTAAGGAATGGAAAAGGGAAAATTGAGGAATCATTCAAGGGTGATGTCACCTGGATTCTTGTAAAACCCCATCGGCCGCGCAAACACTCCGTTTGGAATCTCAAGCTCCCATCGTCTATGGAACTAGAGGAGGAGACTCAGGAGTTGTCGGTGGCTTCTTTAGCGACCGCAGAGGATACCACAAACCACCCATTGATGGCCAAAAAAGGTTAGTCTGTCAGGTCGTCCGATGGAGCTGTGGTATCCCGAAATTTCAACATCGGAGACAGGGTCTCTGGCCGGCATAATACTGGCGACCAAACTCAGAATCGGTGGTTGGGCGGGGAAGTGTTTGTGTTTAATTCAACTTCCTGGGAATCTCGTCCCGAGATTTAGGGGATTTCCCCTAATACGATCCTTCAAATTCCACCGATTAAAAAGAGTCCTTCCCCCTTTCTATCTAAAGGAACCAAATAGGAGGACGTAACCCCGGAAACTCTAGCCCATTTAATTCCCTGCTCCACTGCTCTGCTCCTTTCGTTTTTTGTAGACGAGTAGCGAAGACGGTGGTCAGGCGAGGTGAAGAGGTTGATGTCCCAAGGTTGTCTCCGTTTCCAGGTAATAATATCAATTCTCCCTTCGTCCCTTGGCATGCTTCATTCCCTAATTTCTCTATGGTCAATCTGGTCATTGCCGCCATTCATGTTGAGGCGTCGGGTGGGCTAGAGCAAGTTAGTCCGCCGCCAATTAAGGTGAGTCGGCAAACTAATAAAGCTACCTGTTTTTGTTACCTCCAGAGAGCTAAGATGGTGCATGTCTCCTCGGATCAGGTGGTCCAATTCTCCATGGTGGAGGTTCACTCAACCAAGTATCGGAACACTCACTCGTTGTTGGGACGTCTCTTTACGAAGAGTCGGGTTACGATTATGGAAGTCAGGGATGCTGTTATTACGCCATGGCAGGTGAAAGGACGACTAAAAGTGATGATATCCAAATATGGGCTATTCGAATTTATTCTGCCTCCTGAGGAAGCTAAGGCCTGGGTTTTGAAGAGAATGCCATGGGTAGTCAAGGATATGATCTTGCACTACGACCATGGGCCCCAATCATCTCAAAACAAATTTTTGATGATCTTTCAATGGTCCTTTACGTGTCCAAATGTGAGATGTTAAAGACGAGTGTTGTACCCAGCAATTCGGACGTAAGATGGAAACCACAAGCTTGGCCATGTCCTGGAGGCTGGTGTGAATGCAAGTCATGAGCCTGGGGAACGTTTTGTAAAAGTGAGAACGGTGTTGGACCTCACCAAGCCATTACGTTCACAAATTATGGCAGCCAATGATGATACAGGCTGCTTCTGGGTTGCCCTTAAATACGAGTATTTACCCTTGTTCTGCTTTCGTTGTGGTCGTGTGGGGAATTTTCTCAATGAGTGTGTCTTTGATCCTCCGACCGACAAGGAGAGGTTTGGACCGCATATGTCCACCAAGATTATGGGTATACGAGTCTATGATGTTGCGGATGAACCCCAACAAAACAGGGGTAATTCAAAATCTGTGTGGCTCAATACTGAATTGGGAGAACGCTGGGAGGAGAAGCTAGAAAACCGGTCTCGTCCTATGGAGTTGGAGGAGGAGATTCGGGGGAAGCTACCGGAGAGGAGGATGAATGGGAGTCCTAGGCCTGATTTCCGAAAGAATGTGGTTTTTAAGAAGAACGTCGAAGTCCGAAAGTGTTCCCAGTCACGAAATCTCCATGGCAGAAGAATGATCGAAGGGTGCGGTATCGTGCTCCCAGTCAAGGGTGGGTTGTGGCTGCAGGTGCCGAAGTACCCTGGATGCGGCTCCGGGAAATGATGGGAGAGGACGGCCCTCTCGGCTTGTCGATGCGTCTAAGAATGATTTAGGAGTTACGGGTCAGGCGGGGGACTAAGAAGGGGGTCGGCTGTTGTAACGTCGACGCATGAGTCGCCGCCACAAACATCTAGATATCCTGAGGAGATGATTCGGAGGATGAAGGGAACCCAATGCCTACGGTTGTGAGAACCCTGCATCGGGACCAGGTGAAGGAGAAGAAGGGAGGGCGACGTCTTGTGAAAACTTCGACCAAAGGAAGTTTGGCTCGGGAGAAGTCTCACCCTCCATCGAGTTCATCGTTTCACCAGGGAAGCAACTGGTGATGCACGATGGGGAGAAGCAGGAAATTCTAGCTCCATCTCCTCACATGCGTGCTGAAGCTAATCTTCCTTCCTCCGGTGTTGATACTCTAGAGGATTCGGCGGATCCCTCACCTGAGGAGGATGCGTCTTTCTTTGAGCATAAGTGTCGTTCACCAAAGCTACCTTGCGTCAAACCTCCTCGATCTCTCAAAGGCCGAGTGGGCAAGGTAGTTGCGGGTTTTGAGTCGCGGCTCGCTATCAACGATGGAGACATCGGTGGCCGGGTGGATAAGCAATTAGCTCCCGAGGCTGTGGCTCGGATGCGAGATTGGGAGGAGCAGGAGGTAGGTGAACCTCGCCAATTCAATGAATATGGAACGAATCTTCTTCATCCATACTTTGGAGGGCGTAAGCGCCCATTAAGTGAAGTGGAGGGAGAGGTGTGGGATAATCTGAATCCCAAGAAATTATTTGTAGAGGAAGAAACTGATAAGGTGGAGGAAGCCAGCCTGAAATGGCCCCAATCGGATAAAGGAAGCTTCTCGCATGGAATGTGAGAGGAATTGGGCCATCCTTCACATTTGAGACAGTTGTCGGATTGATTCGTTCTAATAAACCAGACCTTATTTTCTTTTCAGAAAAAAGATTGCGTCGTAGAGTCGTTTCCCGTCATTTGCGGGGCTTA